ACAAAATGTGTTAAAAAAATTCAGAATTTCACTTAATAAATATCTGAAAGCTAGAGACTTGTCCACATTCTCCCTCCACTGTCTCTGAAGCCATGATTTCATGAGAGCAAATGAGTCACAACACAAGAGCAGGTAGAAGAGCTGACTTTTTGCCCTGGAAATCCTCCTTTTCCTATTTTTCACTGCCAAAACACAACTGAGAATCCCCAGAACTGGATTTTCACGTATGCCTTGTGAACCTCCTTATCCAGGTAGGGCAGGGATGATGTGTCTGAGTGTCTGTAGTTGCTCACTTATTTACCACCTCTGATGTGATGAATTGCCACTGAAGGTTTCTTATCCACGTTCCTGTTTTGGTAGAAACACGTGCTGTGTTTTATGCATGAGTTTTACACTGCTGCAGCTAGAAGGCATGCAGATGAGGAATGCTTGTCCAAATAACCCCCTAGCTAGGAAATATAAACAATGCTCACTGAACTCCACAAAAGAAAACCACAAATTGGGGTGGAAATTTTATTTCCGTGAAGTTCTGCATGTGAACACAAAGGAGATGCAGAAGGGAAAGGAATTCAGCTGATGGATGTGGGTGAAGCAGAGAGAAATTTAGGGTGAAATTCTGGTGGACAGTGTGGCAAGCCTCATCCTTAGGAAAAAGGGTCACCAAGTTGAATGCCATGAGATCTCTCATAGGAAGAGCCAAATACCCATCAGAGTTTGGGGAAATCTCCTCCTCATCCCATATTAAAATAACTAGGAGAAAAAGTGCAAAAGAACCTGCATTCCCCCATTCCCTTCTTTGCCAGACAGACAAATCTTGTACTAAAAAGTGCTAAAAAGAAAGCAGTTTACTGGGGGTGTAGATTGTTGTTGAGGGATTCAAAGCCTGCTGCAGGACATCACTGATTTCCATTGATTTAAACTGAAAGAGAGTAGATTTAGGTTGAATAGCAGAAAGAAACTCTTCCCTGTGAGGGTGCTGAGGCCCTGGTTCAGGGTGCCCAGAGAAGCTGTGGCTGCCCCTGGATCCCTGGCAGTGTCCCAGGCCAGGCTGGACAGGGCTTGGAGCAGCCTGGGATAGTGGAAGGTGTCCCTGGCCATGGCAGGGGGGGTAGAATGAGTTGATATTAAAATGTCCCCTCCGTTCCAAATAATTCTATGATTATATGATAAATTTAAAAAGTTTGGAAAAAGTCCTAAACTGCAACTAAGTCTGAGAAACAGCAGAAGAAGCTGTGGTGGTGAGAGACACCAGTCTACACCATTAAGAAGATGGAATGCCAGCACCCAGTCCTGAACACTGAGGTGTTCCCTGTTATTCTATTATCCAGAATGAGCAGTAATTCAGCCCTGTTTGGATTTATGACTTGTCTGAATTTCATGTACAACTTTCATAATCTCTGTCATAATTACAAAAATTGCAAATAACTTTTTAATATCAATGTTTAAAAAGCTAGTCAAATTTTTCATGGCATTTTTATTGCCTATTTACTATCTCAAATCAAATGGTTTACAACTTTGTGTTCTGAAAATATACAACATAAGAAAACACTAGCCTGGCAAAATTATGCTTTTATGATAATGACAGGGGTGAGTTATAGTTGCTCTAGTTAAACTGTAATGGCTCCACAGATGCTGGGAAAAAACTATTGTACAACATGTTCTGCCACCATAAGCATGGCACCTGCTCGCTCCACCATGGTACATACAAGAGCATGTTAACATTTCTTTATGAATCTTATTTTCAAGGATTATTATTGGATCATAAACACTCACTTGGGGATAAAATATCAGCATGCAGGCTTTAAAAATTACCTTGAGAAATATTCCTCCAGTTTTGCATATATGGATTTCAGAAGCAAGTTTATGAGAGATCATATATAATTTGTTTCTGATCTTGTAGGACTCAGAAATGGTTTGTGTTCTTCTTAGGGTTTGTATGAATTTGCAGCAGGTGAATGTAGTGATATTTACAGAGCCAGAAACCAAACCCTCTGGCTCTCAGGAAGTGCCAGCATCTATCCCCAGATGATGTGTGACACAAATGGCAGTGGCAGGAGTTTCCTGTGTCCTGCACCACCCACCCATGGTCCCACTCACTCCTGAGGTGATGCCCAAGGACTCATGATCTGACTCCCTTTGCTCAATTTAGCCTCTCAAACAAACTGCTGAGATGGAAATTTAATCCGTGTGTATTTCCCACTGGAATGGGTGAGGAATACGGTGGCCATGAGCTGTAAAGCACATTGCAGATGTGCTAGAGATGGACAAGTGGGTTACACTCACCCCTGCAAGAAAATACAGGAATAGAGAGAATTGGCATTACTGCATTCATGACACTACAGTCATTTGCTCTAATTCCCATTACTGAAAGCTTCACCTATTAAATACTGTCAGTAAATATGTGAGGATTTTGGTCAAAGTGTGTTGTCTGGCTTTTCATAAGCCAGTATTCGTAGATAGAATAAAATGAACTGAAAAAAAGGTGCTTACAGATTGGGTAAAATCAGTCAACCAACCCAGTTCTGCTTTTAGAAATTGTTATAAATCAGAAGACCTTTTTTAATCTTTAGTCTGAGTTACTGGAATTTCAGAGAGGTAAAACACCTCCAAAGAGAAGAACCACTGCTAAAAATCAAAGTGGTAAATCACTTGTGTCTCAAGGATCATGAGTTTTATTGAGGGAGAATCTTCCCAAATCTGTGGCATGGCTTCTTCTTTACTTTAAACCCTCTAGTCCAGCTGAGCAGTGTATGAGTGAAGATCAGACATTATATATTTCATTTTCCTCCACTGAATCTCCTCTATCTTACTCAATATTAAAGCCCTGCTAATGCCTTAGGCAGCAGTAGCTGACCCTTTGAATTAACACCTCCTCTGCAGTGGATTCCTCATGCATATGCCTATTGATGTATTTTAGAGTGGAGATAATTTTTATTTTGGTTATCTGCTCTGCTTTAATATTCCCAAGAAAACACCTCAACTATATGTTTTTTCTCATGCCATATATTTCCCCCTATGCCCTGCTACAATGTCTTGTTATATTCCACAGGAAAACCCTTCTTATGTCCATCTTTGTCAGAACTCTAGGAGCCACTAAAGCATCATTTTAAAGGGCTCTTTATCGCTCAGATGAATTTTCCTCTAATTGTATCCTTTAACTCCAAAAGGGGTCTGGGAACATACTTTGTATGAAAGATGCTACAGAAAACAAAAGTTGCATTGCTAGTGGTTCTGCTTTTATACTTCCATCCAGGGAAACTCTCTGCACACCAATTTGCTTTCTTTTCCAAAACCTATTTCCTCCTGGGGCTATTTCCTGGGACAGAGCTGTCTTCAAATAATTTAATTATCATGTGGCACACACCTTTTAAGTCCCCCCTGAAATGGTGCGTGATGCCTTTGGTTTACATCACTTGTTGGAAAACACTCCAAAGCATTGAAAAACTATTAAATTGTTACAGTATTGGATGCCAACACACAGGGCTATTAGTCTAATTCATCCTTCAGATCAAAGCCCACACAGGCAGCTCTCCTGCCTACAGCTATTTTCCTTTTACTTTCCTGCTTGACAGTAGTCCCTCATATCCCTCTGTTCTACTTTCTTTGAACATACGGATTTTCCTTTAGTCATGGAAATATAATTTATGTCTATTATACTGCATTATAGATTGCAGATCAGGACAAGCGTGCATTACTGCCTGGAACGTCTGTTTATTGTACGTCGGTTTTCTAAAAATAAATAAATAAGAAAGCCACCCTGCTCCGCTGGGGAGAGAAAAATACGGAGGGGGAGCACTCGGGGGCTGTGGGGAGCTGCGCTCCGTTCTCAAAGTTTAATTTCCAAGCAGAGACCTTGAAGCATGATTTATGAACATCATGCTGTTTGCCTTTGTCACGTTGTGGATGTGGCAGGGGAGCGCTGGCCCCTCTCCAGGCTGGACCACCCAGCGAGCCGAGCGTGGCTACCGGCACGGCACAGCCCGGTCCGAGGGGTCACCCCAGAGCACCCCAGAGCATCCCAGAGCATCCCAGAGAACCCCAGAACACCACAGAACACCCCAGAGAACCTCAGAACACCACAGAACACCCCAGAGAACCCCAGAGCACCCCAGAGAACCTCAGAACACCCCAGAGAACCCCAGAACACCACAGAGCANCCCAGAGAACCTCAGAACACCCCAGAGAACCCCAGAACACCACAGAGCACCACAGATCGTCCCAGAGTACCCCAGAACACCCTAGAGCACCCCAGAGAACCCCAGAGAACCCCAGAACACCACAGAGCACCCCAGAGCATCCCAGAGAACCCCAGAGAACCCCAGAGCACCCCAGAGAACCCCAGAGAGCCCCAGAGCATCCCAGTGCATCCTAGAACACCCCAGAACACCACAGTGTACCCCAGAGCATCCCAGAGAACCTCAGAACACCCCAGAGAACCCCAGAACACCACAGAGCACCACAGATCGTCCCAGAGTACCCCAGAACACCC